CGAGAATAGTCATTGTTCAGTGCACAGTGAAGAGCTTCCTTTTATCTTCAAACTGACACTTCTTCTCTGCTGGGCCACAGCTACTGCTCCTTTTGCTGGTCTGTGATGCAATGGCTCGAAAATTCAATGCACGACCTTTTCAAAAAAAACGTGATGCCGTGAGAGTTTAAATCAACAGCGTGGAGACCTTCCATTGGTTAGGATCCCAACCTCACTATTTCCCTTCCCATTGGCCAGTTACAGGTGGTCACTTCGGTCCCTGGATTCTTAACTATCTTCATCTTAGTACGACCTATCTGCCCAGAACTTACTTCTCAGAGCTAGAAAAGATAGCTGCTTAGAGAGGTTTGACGTGTGATTCTTTGACTTTTGTTAACGAGGCGTTTAAGAGATTCAAAGTCTTTGTCTGCTATCCTCGGTCAATGATTGTTTACAACCGCATTTTTTTAAAAATATATGTATTATTAAAATCATTAAAAAAACCAACTAGATAAAATATTAATTTCATATTTTTTTAAGTAAATATACTTTTAAGATGCATTTAAGAGCATAGCTCAATACACTACTAAATAATCAACAACCAAAAAAAAATAGAAATATATATGACAAAAAAAAATTTAAGTGGAATGTTACTCTCTAGCTTCACTGTTTTATTTTTTCTGTTGAGAAATAACAATTACATGCTAAATCACCTGATCGTCAAGAAGAAAGCCACTTGAGCTCATTTCATATCCTTGATTTTATAAAAAGATATCTAGTTTATGTTTTTTTTAAGTACGTTTCATGGTTTTTGACTGTAAATATTTAAATTATTTAATTTTTTAATTAAAAATACTTTAAAATGCATTTTTAAAAGCAAATAAAACGGAACCCTAGCATCACCGTCTCGACTTTTCTATTATTTTCGTGGCAATTCACCAGGCTAGGGCCAGGGGCGGAGTAGGGAAGGGGTTTTGGTTAGGGGGGCAGATCAGAGAAAAAGATTTAGAGGGGCCGAAATCTAAAGTTTTCTGATTTTAAAACTAAAGCATTTAATTGCATCTTGTTTCCTTTAATTGCATGTCAGTCTATAGCATCTAAAGTTTTTTGGTCTAGCCTTGCTCCGCTCCATACATGGGAGAAATTGGAGCTAAAACCACCGTATGCTAAGACAGCGACGCCATGAAATTATTCACTCTTTTACAGCGCCGCCCAGTTTCAGTCTACTGCACCTAATCCTCAACCATTAGATACAACTTATGCGGACCTTGATCTCCTACCAACCCCACCAATTTCCATGGAATGCAGGAAGGCCCAAATTCTAAAGCGTTTACCGAACCATCTGCTCATTCGGCATCTTGGAAAACTATAATATAGAGAATATCGATGGGCCCGTGCTATGTCATGGCTCAAGTCACTAAGAAAAACCATATGCCTTGCTCACATATTTTCAGTGGGGAAAAAATATTTAAATCAAGTTGATGTTAGTGTAAAGTGATATGTCCATTTAATAGATTTTTTAAAAAAAACCTTGAACTATTGAACAAAATAAATAAATAAAAGTTTGTAAGAATTAAGTATTAACAAAAGGATGAAACGTTTATCTAAAATAATAATAACTATTAAATTAAATAATAAAATTAAAAATTAATTAATTAATTTTTTTTTAAAAAAATTAAGTTAAAAATCAAAAAATTAAAAAAAAATCTATCATGTGATGGTCTAGTAGGGTTTTTTTTTTATTAATCCAGAGTTAGATGATTTTTTTAAAAAAAAAGTAAATAATATATTATTTGCTTTATTTAAATATTAGCGATCATGATAACAAAGAAATAAAATTAGAGATATTTTGCATCCAAGATTAATTTTAAATTATTTTTATCACGTCAAAATACTAAATCAACATCATATAAATCTAAATAAACTTGTTTTATTTTTTTTAAAAAAATTAATATAAAATTCTAAAACTTTTCAAGGTTATGTCTACTATCTTATACATTTTTTATGTGAAATAACCTCTTAGTAAAACTACTCTTGAAAATTAAAACCCGATGACATGAAAATTAACTGTTTTAATAATCACAATTAACATTAACTAATGTTAACTAGTTAGTATTTTCTCTCCACTAATAGAATTTTGTGACTTTTTTTCTTAGGCCTCAAACTACAAACAAAAAAAAAATAAAAGAAGAGAAGTTTTAAACTAAAAGAGAATATTTAAAAAACTAAAGGGACTAAAAACAAGCTAGTTGCAAAATAAAGACAAAATTTAATATTTTGATTCAATATCTAAACAGCCACAAAAGGTTTCTGTGTTTTTCAAGTCCACTGTTTCAATTCTGCTCTTTCCTAACAAAATAAAAGCAATTGACATTCAATTTGGCCACCAAAAAATCCAATCATGCAAAAACAAACTTCAAGGATCAAAATAACAAAAATATAAAACAATTCATTAATTTTATTGTATCTGTAGATTATCATAAAGAGGCAACAACCAGAGAAACAAGAGCAAAAAAAATTAAAGACTCAAATATAAAGATAACAACCATGGGATAATAAAAACTTCTTCAGCTCAAGAAAGCTGTCCACAGTCAGCAACAACAACAGGCTTGGAGGTCCTTCCACTAGAAGACCCAAACTTCTCTATAGCCTTCACAACATCCAAGCCCTCCACTACTCTTCCAAACACCACGTGTTTTCCATCGAGCCATTCAGTCTTGGCTGTACAGATAAAGAACTGCGACCCATTAGTCCCAGGCCCAGCATTGGCCATGGACAAAATCCCAGGCCCAGTGTGTTTCTTTATAAAATTCTCGTCAGCAAATTTCGATCCGTAGATCGATTCCCCTCCGGTTCCATTCCCTGCAGTGAAATCTCCTCCTTGGCACATGAATCCAGGGATGACTCGATGGAAGGTCGAGCCTTTGTAGTGTAAAGGCTTGCCGCTTCGGCCTTTTCCTTTCTCTCCAGTGCAAAGAGCCCTGAAGTTCTCCGCGGTTCGTGGAGTTGTGTCGGCGAACAGTTCCATCACGATCCGGCCGGTTGGTTGGCCGCCGATTGTCATGTCGAAGTAGACTCTAGGGTTTGCCATTGAAAATATGTGGACTCTGTTCGGTTAAGGGATGGAGGGTTGGTTTTATAGAGAAGGTTGGGTTTCTAAATTCTAATTTGGAGGTTTCATCTTGACCGCTTGTAGTGGACACGTGGATGGATACGATGGGTTTGGAAAAATAAAATCCTTCTCGGGACTGCGTGAGGTTGACGCGAGAATCTTTAGATGTTAAAGTTAGCGTTTTACAGAAAATGTTGTTTTTAAATTATTTTTAATTTTAAAATGTATTAAAATATTTTTTTAAATCTTTTTAAAACTTATGATTTACATTCACAATGCTTATTACAACCCTAACATCATGAATTGTTATATATAATGGGCCAAAATTATTGCAAAACTTATATTTTTTTTAAATTTAAATTTAACTTAAGAAACAAAAATTAATTTTTAAAAAAATCCTGAAAATATCAAATGCCTAATAAGATATCTGAAAATATAATAAAAGTTAGTTTTTAAAATGTTTTTTATTTTAAAATATATTTTTATTTTTTTATCCACGTATCAAAATATACAAAAATAAAAAAAATCAAAATTTAACCAAAAAAAAAATCCGAACTCAATGTCAAGCAACACTAAGCGGTGACAGAGAGCAACGAACAAGTGAGGTTCCTATCTTCCACGTGGCAATATTATTTATTTTATTTTATTTTATTTTATTTTTTTCTTTCCATCCAATTGTCCATATATGGCAATTGGGCCGACATGCGTACCTTGTCCCACAACGTCTCCACTATACTGGTTTTTTTTTAGACCAAGTTGTCTCGGTAAAGATTTTTTTAGTTGATATACATAATTAATTAGTAATTAGAATGATGAGAGTCGGGTTTAAGATACATCACTAGAAATTAATCTGATCATAATAATAAAAATAAACAATGTCAAAGACGTCCTTTGAAGATCTCGTAGCTATGAAGATGATGGGGTCCGTTTATGAATTATTTTTTCTATGCATCTTGCTGTGTATCAAGCTTGATCTCTCTCTCTCTCTCTTTCCTGAAATTCGAGATATAAAATATAAATAAATTTTAAAACTAGAAATTCTTGATCCGTATTTGACTGTCCTGGTTAAATAGATTGATATTAGTTTATTTGTTTTTTATATATTTTTATAAGCGTTATTGATTTTTATTATATATAAATTTATTGAAATTATTATTAAAGAATAAGATTTTTTTAAAAAAATCAGAATTTAAAGTTTAGCTTGGCCATAACTCAATAACTGCACGAGTTAAGAAGAATGGCCAAATTCTGAGTGCTCTAAAATATGCTTCCTGAACTCCTAAACTTGATTTATTTATAAAAAATTGATTAATATTAAATCTTTTATAATTGAATGAAAAATAAGTTTAAAACAATAAAAAAAATAATCTGCAATTCTTGAAAGATGAAAATAGTTTATGAGACTAACTTTGTCAATAAATCATGAGCCTCGACATCAATTAATTTCTTTCCTTTCCTTTTCAGAACATATTTTTTGTATGTATTAAATATATATAAAAAATATTTTTAAATATATTCCATTCATTTACGAAATAATAATAAAAAATCATGTAAAACATTTCTGGAAACAAGTTCTTCTTCCAATTGTAGTCAGTAAATGGGCTTTGTTAACCACTAAATGTCTGGGCCACGGGTCTGTGGCTTATTTGAACTGGGCTCCCGCCAAAAGACGTAGAAAACCAGTCAAACGATACCGAGCAGTCGAAGAGTGATTTTAGCAGAGGTTGATTAGGTCGAAGGATGATGAGGCATTTCCAATGATTAAGCCAAAAGGCAATGTTTCTCCATGTCATTTACTTAAAGACCGTTCTAAGAAAAGAAATTAACAATAACAATATAAACAATGACTAGTAATATAAAATGATTAGTCCAAATTCTGCTTTGATCATCACCCAGCAACTATAAAAAAAAGCCGGCAACTCCTGCTGGAGTCAATTAGGCCATCTCAATCTCTGTTTCTTAATTTGACGTTGAAGTAATTGTCTTAATTCCCATGAATTTTCCTTGAGCATAACTGTAAGAACTTTTCCCTGAAAAGATTGCACTCGTTTTTTTGACAGGCTACTGCATACTGTGTCAATGTCTGTGCCAAAGCTGCTTGCAATTTTTTGATGAGATGTTTGCATCTTGACGTTAAAGGTTATTTTCTCTGTCTAAAGTTGCTGTTTTTCTCTCTTCAAATACAGTCTCAACTCTGGAGTTAGGCGCTGATGAAGTATTTTTATATGTCTGCTGTTGTTTTGAATCACAATGGCAGGAATTTTAGTTGATTGGGAATCTGTAAGCTGGGATTGTATCCTCAGAGATGGCAGGAAGCTATGGGTTTGCAATGGACCAAAAGGATATCGTGAGGTTATTGATTACCACGGTGGGAAGTTTCATACAAGATCGCTTGGTCAGTAAAGAGCAAAGAACCCAGCACAAAGAACAGTGTGCTGAGAGATTAGCAGCTGAAGATGGGAGCTGTGATAAAGATACCGAGGTTCTATGCTCTGATCAAGCAGTATTAGCAAATTTGGATTGGGGTATTGAAGCCCTTGAAGAAGCCATCGACACCTCCAACACGGAGACTAAGCTGGCACGATTAGATCATGCAGAGAAGATGCTGCAAGTTTGTGCCATGTTGAACTCTTACCAAAGAACAGCTGGAGTCCCCAATTTCTATCTCTCTGCTTGGGCCCACCTCCACCTTTCGTATCTATGGAAATTGCGTAACAATACTGAGAATTCTGTTCTTCATGTCCTTGAGATGTTTATTGTTGATCCCTTCTTCTCAAGAATTGATTTTGCACCTGAACTCTGGAAAGATCTTTTTCTTCCGCATACGAGTTCTATTGTTGGATGGTATTCCGAGGCTAGACAGAGGCTTACGATGGAAATAATTCCCGATTCTTCAGATTTGTCATTTACTGCTAACTTGGATCTGTTCTTCAATGAGTCTTTGATATATTCAATGAGGCCGGATCAGGTGGAAAAATTACAGAAGCTTGAGGAGCTTTACAGAGAATCCTTAGACGAGAATACACGGCTTTTTGCTAAATACTATAAGGATTGCATGAATACGGATTCAACAGCAAGAAAGAAGATGGTTCCAATGCTTCCAATAGCAGAGCCTCCAGTGACTCCTCTGCATGAGGTTAGCCGGTCTATTCCTGACTACGTGAAATTTGGTCCCATCTTGCCTCATAGTGCTGGTTTCTCTCCAGTTCTTAGATATAAACATGCTGCGAGAGCAGAAAGCAGGTTAGCTTTACTCCAGCATTAAAAATGAAATTGTGTTATTCAGTCAGGACCATACGAGTAAAGCCATTTGCTTGTTGTGGTTCTTGTTTTATTGTATATCCACCCTGAACTTTTTCTTATGTGTTGAACTTGTTTATGTTATGATGGGTGCGGTTGTGATCAGATTGGGCATAATCTCGAGCCTCTCACCTAATTTAGAGGAGTCGTCTACTACGTGTGATCCTCCTCGAGTAAGACTGCGAACTATACTACTACTGTTACATTGCCATGAACAATTGGTTTCGAAGCTATAAGTCTCCTGATGGCATGTAATACTACCACAGGCTTTAGCATATTGCTATAACCAAAGTTGTGTTCTTGTTTATTATGTCAGGAAGGCAAGCCTGAGGACAGAGAAAATGATTCTGATTGCGAGCCGAGTGATACTTATTTTGATTCTGAAGATAAAAATCACAAGTTAACAATGCTTCCCAGCATAAAATCAACCGAAAATAAGGACATTGGAGTGAGCAAACGGCCATCTAAAGCAAAGAGCCCAGAGCATTCTCCCAAAATATGCTCTCCTATGGATTCCCCAAGAATTTCACCAAAGATCATTTCTCCTAATTCAGTTGTCCAGTCTAAAAGAGAACCCAAAAAACTATTACGGATTCTTTCATGCCGGGCTATGGATTCTGCTATTGCTACCTCTTTACCTGATTCTCCATGCATGAGCAAGGAACACGGCAGTAGCTCACCAGACTCGGATGGTGAAGTGATAGTAAGTCATCGCCTACCTCTTTACCTGATGTCTTTGGCTATATGTCCATGCATGAGCAAGTTGGAAAATAGGAATGTTTGATTCACTGAATAGTATTTTTTTGCAATTCAGGGTCTGCTGAGAAATGTCAGGAAGAACCGTGATCGAACAAGGAGAATGAGTTGTGACAACGTGAGCGGCCAAATATTCGAGAATAAGTATCTAAAAATTTCTCCCTTTAATTTAATTTTCTCTGGGCTAAGGTTTACAGTATTGAAAGGCTTTTTGTCTTTTGATTATCATTCAGCTCTCTAATTCAGAGTGATGAAGGAAGAGAGAGCTGCATTTCACTGCCTACATCTGAGAAGTTGACTCCCCGTTCAAGACCACGAAAAGATTTTGTTTGCCCTATCACAGGAAAGCTTTTGAATGACCCAGTTACCCTTGAAACCGGAGAGACCTATGAGAGAGAAGCAATTCAAGAATGGATAAAAAGAGGAAACACAACATGCCCTATTACCCGCCAACCTCTCTCCGCAGATTCACTGCCCAAAACAAATTATGTTTTGAAGAGACTAATAACATATTGGAAAGAGCAGCATCCTGAGTTTGCTCAGGAATTTTCGTACTCTGAAACACCAAGGAACTCATCCACAAGAGAGACTTCTTCGGTGTCTAATCCTAGAAGAACATTTTATTCTTACAGTCGTAACAGCACAGAAAGTCACACGCAGCAGAGGAGCAGAAGATTTGTCCGAACAGCAGTATCCACATCACCAACCATTGTAATTTCTCAAGCTACAATTGAAACAATCGTCAATGGGTTAAAACCTTATATTTCATGTCTCTGTACTTCAGAAAACTTAGAAGAGAGAGAAGCAGCCGTTTCAGCAGTAGCCAAATTGTGGAAGGACTCAAAGGGCGATCCTGCAGTTCGTACATTTTTATCTAGGCCAACGTTTGTAAATGGGATTGTAGAAATACTATCAGCTTCTGTAAACAGAGATGCTATTAAAACTTCAATTTACATTCTCTCTGAGCTAATGTTTTTGGATGAAATTGTTGGAGAGATTCTTACCAGTGTAGATTATGATTTTGATTGCCTGGCCGTTTTGTTAAAAAATGGGCTTGCTGAGGCTGCTGTTCTGATATACCAACTGAGGCCAGCATTTGGTCAGCTTTCGGCTCACAACTTTATACCCTCACTTGTCCAGTTAATCCAGAGTAAAAGTGAAGATTCGGATGATCTTCACTTTGCAATAGAGCCCAAGGATGCTGCTATAGCAGTGCTTGAACAGATACTTACTGGTGGGGATGAAAACAGCCGGTCAGTCAGTGCTTTTGCTGTTATTCGTGCAAATGGAATTCCAGCTCTGGTCAAGTGTTTGGATAGAGTAGAAGGAAGGAGGTCAATTGTTTCAATACTTCTCTGTTGCATGCGTGCTGATAGAAGTTACCGGAACTTTATAGCAAGTACAGTCGAACCATCTCCTGTGCTTGAATTATTTCTTTCAGGAAATGATAATGTGCGAGGCTTATGCATTGACTTCCTGTCTGAGCTAGTTCACTTAAGCAGGTACTCATCCATTTAGAAGATCAAATATTCCCTTCTGCGATGTAATTTGAATGCTATTCATATTATCTTCCAGCAGCCACTAGCTGGGTGGCTGAGGGTGAAAATGGGCTACTGCAGTGCCCTGCACTGGTTGAATAAGGAAAACTGCAATGTCAATGCGAGAAGGGGGATGGGGATTTATATTCTTGTATGTAAAGGATATTGCTAGAAATCATTTTTTAAGCACGCTGATCTTACCTTTCACATCTCTACTTTTACTCAAGCCAGCCAAAGAAATCGAGTGAATTCTTTTAGACCTGGGATCTTGATTCTTCCATTGCGTCCGTTCACCATGTGTATAAAGATTTGTTTATTTTCTTCTTGTTCAGCATCATTTCCAATAACAACAATTTAATGTACTTACTTTTCCATGGTGTTTCAGGAGGACAACCTGTAACCAGATCTTGCAGATAATTAAAGAAGAAGGAGCATTTAGTACCATGCACACCTTTCTTGTTTATCTCCAGATGGCTCCCATGAAGCACAAACCTTCCCTTGCCACTCTTCTTCTTCAGCTTGATCTCCTGGTTTGCTTTCATTCCTTGACATCATTCGTTTACTTCCACAGCAAAACTTGAATATCTAACCTTGGTTTCTATGCGCTGAGTTTCCAGGCTGAGCCACGAAAGATGAGCATTTACAGGGAAGAAGCTGTAGAGGCGTTAATTGAAGCACTTTACAGAAAGGAATTCTCTAATTCTCAAATGATGGCTCTGGATGCTTTAGGATCTCTTTCTGCACGGAGGACATCATCTGGGGATCCTTACATGGAAGCCTGGTTACTGAAGATTGCAGGGTTTGACCAACCTTACAATGCTTTGATGAAGGCAGAGAAGCTGACGAAGAATGAAAATGATTTAGCAGAAACAAATTTAGCCGAATCAATGGTTTGCTTTTTTTTTCTTTTGCAATTTGGTATGGAACATGAACCCACTTGTATTAAATTTGTTCAGATCCTGAGCCTTAGATGCTTTTATGCAGGAAGATGAAGAGAGAGCAGAAAGTTCTTGGGAGAAAAGAGTAGCTTTTGTCCTTTGCAATCATGAAAAGGGCTCTATCTTTAAAGCTTTAGAGGAATGCTTCAAGAGTAATTCCTTAGAGATGGCAAAGTCATGCCTTGTGATTTCCACGTGGCTCATATACATGCTTTCAGTTCTTCCTGACACTGGTGTAAAAAGTGCTGCTGGTAAATCCTTGCTTGAGGAATTAATAAATGTCCTTCAAGCATCTAGAAATATGGAAGACAAGATTTTGTCAACCCTTGCATTAAGGACTTTCGTAAGCGACCCAGGTAAGATCAGTGTAGCTAAGCATACTTACCAGTGGTTAAGAATAATTACCGATTCAAACTTTCCTAATTCTTAGCTGCACTTGAAGCGCTTGGGAAGCATGCTAAATACATCTACAGAACCTTGAGAAAACTTAAGAGAAGTTCACCAGTGGTCACTGATGTACTGAAATCTTTAATGAAAATGTCTTCTGTCAATGCAGTAAGTGGGAAACTACTTGTCTAATTGTCTTTAGCTTCAAGCATGCTATATAAAACGAGCTCATTAGCCATGTGTTCTGTATTATAGACAGAGTTGTGGAATTGTACCGAAGTGGTTGAGGTAGATTCATGTGTCAATGGCAAATTGCTGTCTTTGCTTCATTTGGAAGGTCGTGTTATTAGCAGCCATTCCGACGGAACCATAAAGGTACGATCTGCCAGACCCTTTTCCCTGTGCATCAACACAATTTCCAGTTGCATAAGCATTAATGATTACTTGATGAAGATAAGATGAAATTTTGTAACTAAGTAGTACTCGCGCTTAGGTTTGGGATGCTGGAAAGAGGGTTCTAAGGTTAGTTCAAGAAGTTCGTGAACATACAAAAGCTGTCACATGCCTGTATATTCCATCTTCACGAGACAAATTGTACAGTGGTTCCTTGGACAAAACAATTCGGGTACTTCCACAACTTTTCTGCTTTATAATTGATTCTTAAATTACTTCGTGCCATGTGTGAACATATCGTGTCCTATCAATGAACCCTTACAAATGTAATCCATCATTTTCCTGCGTAATTTGTTGCAGGTTTGGGCAATCAAACCGGAAGAAATTCGTTGTATTCAGGTTCACGACGTGAAAGAGGCAGTTTTCGAGCTGGCAGCTAATGATAAAGTTGCATGCTTTGTTTCTCAAGGACCAGGAGTTAAGGCAAGTTACACCAATTATCTTACAGCAACCGGAGCAAATCTGCAGTCTTTAGCAGTTAACAGAATCCGGTGTCCTGAAAATTGTATTTTAACAGGTGTACAGCTGGTCAGATGTTCCAAAGCACATAAACTTCAACAGAACTAAATAGTTCTCTTAGATCTTCTTTCATTTTCTCTGCTCTGTCTGCAGGCTTGGGCTTTGGACTAGTGGAATCTGCTATCAAGATCCGTACAGGTTATTTTTGGAAAACAAACGTGTAATCAATTCATGTATACTTGTTTTCGTCCACTTTCACTCTGTTCAAGCTTCATGGTTTTCGCACCCAATTTCAGATCTGATATTTGTGGAATAGTTAATTTAAAAAAAAAATTATTTAAAAATATATTACAGTAATAATTTTTATTTTAAAAAAATTATTTTTAACATCTATATATTATTAAAACAATTTAAAAACAAAAAAATTAAAAATTTAATTTTTTTTTTAAAAAGCATTTAGATCTTACTCAAAAATTGGATTACAGAGTTACAGGATCAACTCACAAGCCACCAAACTATCGCAGGTCAAAGTTTTTATTAAAATGATACTTCTATAGGAATTATAATGGATATTCATATTAATTTATCCATTATTCAACTTAAAATAAAATACTAAAATATATATTTTCGATAGGATTTTTTTTATCATATTTAAGAACTATCTATTATAGGTCCAAAAGATCCGTTCGGATCAATATTTATTGTATTTGGATGATCATTATCCATCAACTTTTTTATAAAAAAAAAGTGTAGCTTTCACCGGCTCGATATCAGATCTGATTCAACTAAAATTCAAACCAGATCAGCTCTGGGTACGAATTTTCTGGGTTAAAACTGCTAGGCAATGAGATTTGTCAAAGTTTGAGCATTACAGACAAAGGCAACAAATAACAATGTAGTAAATGCATAACAATAATATAAATCACGATTACAAAAAACTCATTGGTTAGCGAGCTTCAGTATGAGTAGGAGGTGATTAATCCTGTCATGAAATTAATCGGACAAATTCAAATTTATCATCACGATGCTCGCTCCACTGCAGGGAAAATAAAAGTAAAAAATCTTTTTGAGGAGCTAAGAGAAGAGGAAGATGAAATCATCAGAAACATTGGATCTTTACATCAGTGTTGACACAAAGTGTCTCAGACGACCGTCGTGAGAAATTTACAATCCAGATTCATCACTTGATTTCACGATCAAAGAAAGCAATAGAACAGCATGCAGACGCAAGAAGCATGGAGAAAGGAAGGAAAGGAGACAGAGTAAGAGGACAAACTCAGGTTTTTGTTGGTGGCGATGGCACGGCCGAACTATCCGAAGCAGCTGGAGCTGCAGTGGTTTATTTATAGGAGGCTGGAGTTTTGTTATTAGGGTTTTTATCTTTTTATGTTGACGATACTGTCCTGTTCTTTTGATTTCTATCATTTGAACTTTTTGAAGCGCATGGTCACAGCTTGTTTAGCATTATTAGCATCGGTGATAACTGGGGCTGTTCCAAATGACGTGCTGCGTCTCGATTGGGCTAGTTGTAATGCGAATTTTAATTGACCTGTCGCATTTTGGTTGGTTTAGTCTATTCGTTGGCTGACCCGGCAGGCATGTAGGTAGGCGGGCTTAACTCTTATGTAACAAATTCCGTGAGTTTATTTTATGTTTGTATTTTTAAGATTTTTATGTGGAAAATAATTAGTTAACATAAATATTTTATAATCAAAATTTTTTTATATAATATCTAATAAACAACAATTAATTTGCAATATCTTCTAATAATTTTAAATATTATCTTTATCATTATCAATCAATCGCGCTATTGTTATTTTATTATTAAAACACATTATCATTTTATATTGTGATTATATTTTTTATATAATTATTATCTAATATTTTAGAATGTTTTTCATTGATAAAATATTTACACAGAACTCAAGTTGAACATCATCAAACTGAATTTTCAACCATGACTCATCTAAACAAAACACATTTCTAAAATTGATAAAAAAAAAATAATTTTTGCAAAAGATAAATTATTCGAGGTCAATTGATTTTTTTTATCAAAATAGTCTCATAAATTAACAGTGAAAATTGTTTAGTTTTATTTTTTTAAATGTAGGAATTTACACGGATTTTTTTTCGCACAAAACAAATACACTGCATTTAACCAATCAAACACAGGAATTTTTCGGAGCCAAGGAAAAAAAAAATACAAAACTATTCCAAACAGATAAAAAAAATAAAAAAAAGTCACCACAAGTGGCCTTAGGTTTCTATAACGATGTAGTTCCTTTTCCTTAACAAGGTGTTATGTATGGTGATAAAAAATATTTTTTTAAAGTATATTTTATTTTAAAATATTTTAAAATAATAGTTTTATATTTTTAATTATTATTATATCAACTTATCAAAATGATAGTTATTTAATTTATTTGGCCCGACAAGTTGACCTACAGGCTGGGTGACCTTGGGTCCTCGTCGGGTCTGAAAAATGCTAAACTGGAGATTTAAAAAGAAAACAAAAAATAATCAACAAATAACTAGCATAAATGTGATCTTTAGATGTGGAAGATATTTGCCAGTACAGGTTTTCTACAAAACAAAATAATTTTTTCCATTGACAGATAAAAAAATCAGTTCACAAACTACTAAAATAGTAGTTTTACTTTTAAGGGCTAGAAACAAAAGGTTTGCATTACTTCACGTACAGGTAGGGATAAGCAAGAATAATTAAAAATTAATTAAATTGAAAAAACCAAAAAAAAATAAAATAAAAAACTAAATCATAAAAAAAAAATTAAAAAAATTAACTGGTTCGATTTGATTTTTATTTTATAAGCCTAAAACCTAAAACACTAAAATGAATGGAAATTAAAGAACCCGAACTAAATTTAAAAAAATCAAATCAAATTGAAAAGAAATTGAGCCAAGCTGAAAAAAAAAAGACAAAAACAAAAAAATAGAATTAAGCTAATTTGAATAGTTTCATTAAAAAAATAAATTTAATTTATAAAATCAAATAAAATAAAAAATAATCATTCGCATTCAAAGAGAGTTTTTTTCTTGTTCATTCTATATACGATGACCAATTACTTTTTTTTTATTAATTTGTATCAAAGTTAATTTTATGGATATTAATTTTTTTTAAATGTAATATTAGAAATTATTGGTATATCTTTCTTATTCATAGAAAAAAACTATATTTTTCTAGTATAGAATAATAATTTTTTTATTTAAATATTTTTTAAAAAGAATAAGAAAATATATTTTTAATGTGAAATTAAAAATATTTTGAATTAAGTTTTGAAACTTTATTATTTATAATATATATTTAAATATTTTATTTTTTTATTTTTTATATGAGATATTAAAATTTAGAATATTTTTTTTAATTTTTTTAACTAATTATAATTCATCAGTATAACCCAAGATTTTATCTCTTGACTGGGCCAACACTTATTAAATTTAATAATTAAGATCAAAATTATAAAAAATATTAATGAAAAAAACTACTTTTAAAAATATAAAAAATAAAAGTTAACGTACTCATAGACACTCGATAAGAGTCACAGACCTGTCACCACAGTGTCCAGAAAGCCAGGTGGGCAGCAACGTATGCATTCAAAAGCAGGCGCACCACAGCATCGAGGAGCGAGTGACACCGTCCCGGCAATTTAATCCTCACAAGCCGCCCTCAATCAACGGCGGTGCAACTAGTTCACTAAAACCAACCCCCTAAACGATTGCCTGCAGAACCAACATGCCATTTGATGGATTCTCTCCTCTCATCTCGTCTCAACTCCAGTACCTCCTCAATCACTTCCCTCACACGATCCAGGTAAAAACTGCCTCAAAAATCTCTAACCCTAGATATTCTTCAAAAAGCTAATCAAATCTTCAATCTGTGAAGTTTCAATTTAGGGTTTTGTCAATTCTCGGCTTACTTAGCTTGCTTTGCAGATTGAGCAGGCTTGGTCAGGCACCAGGTACTTTCCTGGAAGTCTTGATCGATTCACATTGCTCATTCCCTACTGTCTAGACTACATAAAATGTTAGTATCATTTTTTTTTTAACAATTTGTTAAGTGTTTACTCATTTTTTTGTTATTATTATCGATTTGTTAAGTGTTTACTCATTTTTTTGTGGTCAGGGTTGATTTTGAGCTCTAATTTATTTACTACAGGGGATATTATATACAATGCTGAATTTCCATTAGCTGCGCCGGATGTTATATTTGGTCCCGAGGATGATGGTTTCCATCCATTTCTTGTCGTAGGAAGAGAGGAAGGGGATTCGAGGCTCGTTAAGAACAGTTTGACTGATTGGAACAATAAAGATCCTTCACGGCTGTTGGCTCTCGTAATAGAATTGAGGTTGAGGACCTGAGTGGTTTAGGAGTTGGTGGTATTGTAACTTTTTTTGTGGTTGGTTGTGACTTGTGATCAGATCTTGATTTCTGTCTACCAGGGATAAATATAGGTCTTACCAGGAGAGACGCGTGGGAGAAGTTGATGATGATAGGTTGAAGTTTGAAATTAGTACTATTGTATCTAGGGAGGTAATTTTTTGACAATTTTTTGAATTACATTACATCTTTTATGTCTGTATCTCGTAGATGCTAATGTCTTGACATTTGGAAAGGACAGCATGAGTAGTTACTTGTTTTATGTAGAAAAGTTTACTGTGTTGGTACTTTGTTGTCACTGCTTTTCTTTGTGCTCATGGTGATTAGTTTTCTGCATGCCACTGAAACTTCGATCACTCTGCTGCAGGGAATTGAAATGCATATGAGTTCTGGTGTTGAAAAGGTATTTGTTGAAACAAAAATGTTTTCGTTTTGCTTAACTGGGTTATATGAGGTGATCAAATATTTTCTACCTCTTGGGTTGGTGTTTAACAATATTGTTGGTTTTGATGCCTTTGAATTTTAGCGTAGCCAGGGGAGGTTAAATTTTCTGTGCCTTTAATGGACATGAATATAAATAAAATGGTGCTTGGATGCCCCTGGAGTCATCCACAAAAGATATACTTACAGGTTGGATGTTTCTTCCTTCATCCTTGTATTTATAGTTTCTCTTATATTTTTTCTTGTTTCCTTCTGTCCCAGTTATTCTCTCCTCA